CATAATGTCTTGTGTTTCCTCTGTGAACTTTTCTATCTTATGGAACGGTGAAACCATGGAAAATTTCAACCCTGGTCGTGGTCTTAGACAAGGTGACCCTCTTTCACTGTATTTGTTTGTTCTTTGCATGGAGAGATTATCTAATATGATCAGAGTGCAGGTGGATACAGGAAAATAGATGGGGCTAAAAGCTTCCAAAAACAGCCCACCAGTCTCCCATTTATTTTTTGCGGATGATCTCCTCCTCTTTGCCAAAGCTGATCAGATTAATTGTGAGACAATCATGGAAACCATGAATGAATTTTGCTGCATTTCAAGTCAAAGAATCAACCTCCAAAAATCCAAAATGTATATTTCCCCCAATATCCATAGGAATTTAGCCAACGAGCTTAACTCTTTGTGTAATATCAGCTTAACTCAAGACCTTGGTAGATATCTTGGAGTTCCTCTTATCCACAGTAGGGTCAGCAGAAACATTTATAATGGTGTCATTGAAAAAATTCACAGAAAGTTGTCCTCTTGGAAAGCCAAAGCTCTATCTTTAGCCCGCAAAGCTACTGTCATTCAGGCTGTTTCATCTTCCATACCTACCTACCTTATGCAAACCATTAAACTTCCCCAAAGCATTTGCAAAACATTGACAAGCTGAATAGAAATTTCCTATGGGGTGATCAAGAAGGAAGAAAAAAAGTCCATTTGGTCAATTGGAAACAAGTATGTAAAGCCAAACAAGATGGAGGCCTAGGCCTTAGAAGAGCTGAAGACCAGAATGTTACTCTCTTAGCTAAATTGGGATGGAAGCTAAATTTTGACAAAGATGTTGTCTGGACCAAAATCCTCAGGGGCAAATACTTACACCAGCCAACTTTCTCCATTTGGCCTTCTACCACTAATTCATCTCATACTTGGAGGAGCATCATGAAGACTAGAGCCATTCTGGCTAAGGGAACTAAATGGTCAGTGGGTAATGGCAAATCCATTTCATTTTGGAAAGATTGGTGGTGTGGAAATGGGCATCTTGCTTCTATCTTTCCAGGTCCACATATCACAGAGGATGTTACTGTTGCTGCTATAATCAATAAGGAAGGTGAATGGGATATGGAAGGGGCTGCTAATGTTCTACCACAGTTTTTGCAACCTTAAATCCAACAGATCCACCTTCCACATTTTGTGGAGCTAGGGGATAACCCTCACTGGATTAGCTCCTTAACTAGTGGTTTTACTATTGGGGATGCATATAATTTAGTTGCTAATCAAGTCTCATCTCATGACACTGGCCCAGTTATCTGGCACTGGATCTGGAAACTGAAAATTTCCCAAAAACTGAAGGGGTTTATTTGGTTGTTGATGCTTAACAAAGTTCTCACCAACCACCAAACGAAGATTAGGGGCCTTACCACCGATGACACATGCCCTCGTTGTCAGCTCTATTACAAGGACCTGAACCACTTGTTACGAGAGTGTCACCAATCTGCAGAAGTATGGGAGACACTAACCCATCATAGCTGAAGAGCTCCCAGTACTATCAGTTCCTTGGACACTTGGCTCTAGCATAATTTAAAAAGCAAAAACAGAGAGTGTTTTAATATCCCCTTGGGTACTGTCTTTGTTGTGACCTTGTGGCGATTATGGAAAGCTAGAAACAATGTGGTGTTCAATCAGGAGGCCATCCATACCCAGGAATTAGTGCGACAGATTCAACATGAAGCTACAGAAATGCATTATGCCTTCCACACAGACCATTTCACAAGTGATTACTTACACTTTAAAACTAATTGGTGCCCTCCTTGTGCAAGAAAAATCAAGCTCAACACCGATGGATGCTCCAAAGGCAACCCTGGTCCTGCTGGTTATGGTGGTTTGTGCAGAGATGCTCACGAAACCTGGATCTTTGGATTTCATGGGAAATTGGAATCAACCAAGAGTGAGGAAACTGAACTTTGGGGAATATATAGAGGTCTCACCATCATTTTGGAGAAAAGCATGAGAGATGTTTTGATTGAAGCTGATGCAGAACAAGTGGTGATCCACATCAATTCTACTACACCTAGTAACTACCCCTACTGAGCACTTCTAGAGGACATCAAATTTCTACCACACAGGTGCAACTGTGAGGTTCGCCACATCCTCCGCAAAGGAAACCAATGTGCTGATAGACTAGCAAATATAGGAGTGTCTCATGGAGATAATCTGGTAGTGCTAGACAACCCCCCTCCTGAAATTGCTAATTTGCTTGTTGTAGATATAGTTGGTTTATCTTGTGAAAGGGCTTAAGCTTGTTTAGCCCATTGTTCTATCTGTTGCTATTGCTTTTGTTATCTTTCCATCGAATCAAAAAAAAAAACTCCCAATTTTATTTTTTTTATTTTTTTAAATATCAACTCGTCAAAGATTTGTGTTCCCCAAATCTATCTCATCTCTCTCATACCTATTAGGTGTGTCCCAACTCAATATAATTGTTTAAACTTATAAGACTAAGGCCTCGTTTGGGACAGGTTATTTTAATAATTTCTTATGAAAAACATATGTAAAAAAAATAAAGAGAATGATATGACAACTTATAATGATTTTTTAACTTTTTAACTAAAAGTGAAAGTTCCTAAACCAGGCCTTAGTATTTTGTTTTTTGTTAGGTTAGTAGAAAATAACTTAACAAGTGTCAAGTGTCTAATAATATGGAGCAATACTCCTAGACCATTCAATAACCTCTCTATTAGATCTCAACTACCCAACTCTCTCTCTCTTTCTTATTTCTGTCATCAACTCTCCAGATCTTTCTTGATTTCTCTACTCTCCATATCTCTCTAAGACCATTTCCGATGGTTCATCAATTCTATCATCAAATGTAAATTTGACAACAAAAAAACACATTTTTTCTTGCTCCAATAGTTTCACCAAATAAGTATCAAATTGAGGATATGAAAAATCTTTCACCAAATTGAGGATGTTGGAAGCTTTCATCAAATCACTGTTCATAACCATTGAAATTTCACCACCGAATGTCCCCCGAATGACCACCTCTAAGCAAAAAAATTGTGAAAATACATTGGCTGGTTGACGGACATCCGCCCGATCAACCGGTGTTTTGATTAAAGCTCAAAATCCTCCATTAAAACGCTTGATATCAAATCAAGTTTTTACTTAAACTTAATAAATAAATATTAAAAAAAAAAAGATGCAACGTTGCAGATGGTCTAACTCAATACTTATTTCTCTCAACTCTCCAGATCTCTCTTGATTTCTCTACTCTCCATATCTCTCTAACTCATAACTTCTCAACTCTTCCAATTTTTCTCTTTTAATTTTTTTTTACATCATTTAAAAAAAAATCAACTTTTAACCTTCCAAAATGGGCACCTCTCCAATCTACAAATGATTTCTCTTTCTCATTGCTCTTAAATCCCCAAAAATTTGATCTCCTTACCTCAGCCTACACTTTTCTGATCTCCTTCAACTGTCCACGGTAAATCAGAAAGCATATACTATATTCATGTAACAGTACTTATATAATATTTCAAACCACTCACATAGTATGTGTATATCTGACTCGCCTTGGGCCAGGGCTGACTCTGGATACGTGCACCTGAATGATGATGTGATTACAGTTGAAGAAATCAGTTGCTGGTAGTAAACATGCAATTCGAGGATTTCGTCAAATCGGCGTAGTTTCGCCAACTTTGCTTTCCTGAAACTTTACAATTCGCCTATGTTCCAGCAAGAGGTACATCGTCATCATCATTGTAAAGCGTAAAGTGTTACAGTTTCAAATCAATCAATTGAAAATGTGGTATATATTATTTTTAAATGCACAGGCAATGTAGATTATCATGGAAATTTAGAATTTATTTGTGGAATCAATTAGCTATTTGTTTGCTTGTTGATTATCACTACTAGTCATTTGATTTTAACTATCATAGTCCAAAATTGTCCAAAATTCAGCTTTGTTCTAGAAATTCTTGTCTTTATTATTCATATGTTCTTTTCTTTGATGTTTAATTTAATGTAAAGACAACAATTGATTACATGACCAATGAATGCTAGTCTTTTGGTGCTTGCTTTATATAAATTTGCACATTGTGTTGCACATGTAATCAATTTTGTGTTGTGATTGAATTGTATTATTCAAATCACTCAATGTGCCCTTGTGGATCTTGCATATAGTGCATTGATTGAGAAACAGGTTACCCACAGTTCCGGTGACCTTTTCTTTGTCGTAGATATGATAATTGAACTACTAACATAAGATGATTTCTTTCAGACTCCTAGCTTCGTTTTGTTAACAATTTGGAAATGATATTTGGTATTCATTTAAGACATTTAGGCATTTAGTACTTTGGCATGAACTTTACGGTTACACAATGATACATGAGAGATTTATATGAGAAACTTTACCTAATTAATTGGTATGTCTCAACTGTCACGCATGTTACTATCATAAACAACATTTGCTACTGCTATTTAGAAACTTTAGAGCCATATATATTCAATTATCCAAAACCATATTATTTTTTTTAGTCGTAACTAATTTTTTACTTTAATTGTGACATTGACCCTGTTTGGCAAGTGAGTTTTTAGCCTTTTTTTTTTAAAGTTAAAATTCACAAAAAGACAAAATAGGTTAAAATAGCTAACAAGACAAAATATCACATTAAACTCATAATCATTTCATTTTTTTCTCTCACAAACATCACATCTAACTATAAAAAAATCCAACTATGCTTCCAAACACAAAATTTTAGCCTACTAAAGTCTACTAAAATAACTAACTTCCCAAACGAAACCATTATTTTAGTTATAACTCATGAAATTTTTAGTTATATCTCATGTGATATTTGATTACACTTTCTTTCTTTTTTTTTTAATTATAGCTCAAAAAATATAAAATTATATATTTTTTTTCTTTATTAATTATAAACTGAATATAATACACATGCTTAAGAAATGTGTACCATAATTTTTTTTCCATATTGTTAGATAGTTAGAAGATAACGAAAGCGACACGTGTGTGTGTTTTGCATTACATGTATGCCAAGGAGATAAGAAAGGTAAAGTAAGTATTCCAGAACATAGGAAAAATGATGAAAAGCACTCCAGATATGTTACTGTGTTCTTCAACTACTACTGATCATAAGCAAATTCCTCTTCTGGGGTTTGGAACAGCTGTTTATCCATTTGTATCCTCTGAAACCATGAAACAGTCCATCCTCCAAGCAATCAAATTTGGTTACCGACACTTCGACTCCGCGGCTCTATACCGATCAGAGCAGCCTCTTGGAGAAGCGATTGCTGATGCCATACGCCTAGGCTTTATTCAATCTCGCCAAGACCTCTTCATCACCTCTAAGCTTTGGTGTTCTGATGCTCATCGTGATCATGTCCTTCCCGCAATACAAAAGTCACTCAAGTAAGTGAGGGTCGGGCCGGAGGGGTTATGTTATGTAATGTTGCATAAATCATTCTTTTGTTATAGTTTTTTTTTTAATTTTTTTAGGAATCTTGGATTGGAATATCTTGATCTCTATCTTGTTCACTGGCCAGTGAGCTCGAAGCCAGGGAAATATGAGTTGCCTGTAAATAAGCAAGAGCTTCTTCCCTTGGATTTCAAGTCTGTTTGGGAAGCAATGGAGGAGTGTCAGAGTCTTGGCCTCACAAAATCCATTGGAGTCAGTAATTTCTCATGCAAGAAGCTCCAACTATTGCTATCAACTGCAAAGATCCCTCCAGCTGTCAACCAGGTGAGCATTCCAAGTAGACTTTTGTTTCTTCTTATTTTGGAAAAACAAAATAACATTTGCTTTTGAGTCCTTCAAATATATCTTCCTCTCTTTAACAGACTAGTTTGATGTTGTATTTTGCAAGGTTGAGATGAACCCACTTTGGCAACAGAAGAAGCTAAGAGATTTTTGTGAGAAAAATGGTATTCATGTCACAGCTTACTCTCCTTTGGGTGCCAAAGGAACACTTTGGGGAAGTAACCAAGTCATGGAATGTGAGGTACTCAAACAGATTGCAAAAGCTAGAGGAAAATCTGTTGCCCAGGTAGGGCTTTATCAAATTGGGAAAATGCTAGACATACATAATTTTTATATTAAAAATAAAAATAAAAATAAAAAAGTCGTAGAGAATAATATGATAATGCCATTTATGTAATTATGACTTACAATGGGAGATTTTTTTTATTTTTAATTAATAGAAATAAGCCCCATGTAATCATTGTATACATAATTTTTTGTACAAAAATCATGTTTGTTTAGTATCATCCTATAAAATTACTCATCGTAGCACATATGAGCCCGTATATTTCATAAAAAATAAATAAATAAAAAATGCAAAATTATCGAGTTATATTAAGAAAGAATTACCCATAAATTTTAAATGTTGAACTTCTATTCCATTTGGACCCAAATTATTACTTGTAATCCATTTGATCCTCTCTGTTATGTAAAAGGCACAAGAGCCACTTTCTTTGAGTTGTTCAGCATGACAACTATGGGTGTGTTTGATTGGGGGATTAGGAGGGGGGACTATCCACTATTTGGATTGTAATCTAAATAGTGCACCTTATCCGTCGTTTGATTTTTTTTTAGTCCGGCGGACTCCATGTCCGGCCGGACTCCATGTCCCCCATATGGGGGACTATCCTGTCCTGGGGGGGGATACATATCCAATCCGACCAAATAGTCCGGGGGATTTACAGTCCCAGGATTCAAGTCCGATGGATTCTAATCTCCCATTTTCCAGTCCGTCCAATCAAACACACCCTATATGCCTTAAATTGGTTGTGTGTGTTGGTTGTTTGCGGTACGTGTTAATCACGTGACACTTTATGTAAGGGTTTATCCGTTGGATGTTGAACACGTGTTACGTTATGTGCATGAATGGGAGACTCACAACACAAAAGTGCACTGAGGCTTTTTGTACTTTTGCTTTGTTGGGTGATGTATTGCACGTGACACACAGTCGCGTTAGAGTGTTACATTTAAAAAAAAATAAATTAAATAATTTTTAATTTTTTTAGAGTATCATATCATACCCGTCACGTTAGAGTGTCACATTTAGAAAAAATACATTAAATTTTTTTTAATTTTTTAAAGTGTTACATCATATACGTCACGTTAGAGTGTCACATGTCACATTTGGAAAAAATACACTAAATAATTTTTATTTTTTTGAGGTGTTACATCATACACTCCACGTTGTCACATTTGGAAAAAGTACACTAAGGAACTTTTATATTTTTAGAGTGTCACATCATATACATCACATTAGGGAAAAATATAGTAAGAAGTTTTTAGTTTTTTTAGAGTGTCACATCATACTTATCGCGTTGCCATATTTGGAAAAAAAATACACTAAGGAGTTTTTAATTTTTTTAGAGTGTCACATCGTTAGAGGTGTTACATTAATACCTGTCACATTGGAGTATCATCATACCTGTCACATTAATAAAAGAGTATAATTGTCCACCAAAACACTCTCAAAATAAAAAAAATAATAAAAAAATAAAAAAGACTATACTGAAAGAAACTCTTCACTAATAGGACTAAAAAAATAAAAAATAAATAAAAAAACTAGTAAATAATTAAAGTACTTTTTTATGAGATGAAATTTATTGATAAATATCTCTTATATTAATAAATAAAGGCAAGTGCACAAAGCATGATAGTAAAATTAAATTATCCCAATTAAGTTGAGACTGAATAACTAGTTCAATTATTTATTAACACAATACCATGGTGAGAGATCAATCGAAAACATACTAAAACAAAACAGCAGATAAATGAAAGAAGCAGCCGCAACTTCCTAAACAATCACAGCAGTTTGCAATAAGCAGCAACCTCAAGAAATGAAGACATCCCTACCATGCATTGAACCAAACCATCGTCAAACATCCCCAAAACACAATGAAAGAAGCACCTGTAACCAACTCTGTCAGTCAGAAAAAACAGAGCATTGGCCAAACCCAACCCATCACCTTCCCAGCAATTTAAACACTTTCAGCCACCTCTCTGACAATACCTAATCTGCTTAAGGTTTGATCAGAATGTCATGCACTGCATTGGTTTGAGAATTAACTATTTTAATTGATTTTTTAGTTTTTTATAAAAATATATATAAAAAAAAAATAGAGAAAATAGTTGACTTTCTAATAGTAATTTTTATTTTTATTTTTTAACTATATTCTCACTTGCCAAACACCATGGCACCCCTTCTGTGTTATGTTTAACCCATAAAGCACCCTCACCTTAACAATCTCACCTAATTCAGCAAGATTAGGCTGACATCCATTAAACAAGCAATCATTCCTTAATTTCCACACTGACCACATCAAAGCAAAAGGAATTGTCTTCCAGATTTGCAATTCCAACTTCTTGAGTTTAACTCCTAACCACCATTGAAGCAATCCCTCAACTGTATCAGGCATTGTCTATTTTTCTCCACCAATTCAACTAGATCTTCCAAGTCAATGGGCAAAACAAAAGGATATGGTTGACAGATTCAACCTCAGATTTGCAAAAAAGGCACAAAATACTCACACTACCATATAAAAGAGAGAGATTACTAAAATTTTCTTGTTTCATATTCACAGGTTTGTCTTAGATGGGTTTATGAGCAAGGAGTGAGTGTTCTGGTGAAGAGCTTTAACGAGGAGAGGATCAAAGAGAACCTTCACATATTTGATTGGGAGCTAAGCGCACAAGACTCCGAGATGATAAATCAAATTCTGCAGCGTAAAGGATTTCCTGGAGTTGAGTTCATATCAGATGTTGGCCCATATAAATCTCTTCAGGATTTATGGGATGGTGAAATTGCTTGAACATGTAGCCAAAAACACAGACTTTTTTTTTGGAACGAAAGTAATGCTAGACTTGAGGAAAGAAATATGAAGTAAAGTTTCACGGAGCTTTTCGAAATAATTTAGTATGGTTGGTAACAAAATACGAAAAGTTACTTATCTTAATGTAAGGTTGTTTTAATTTTGAAATCCTAGTTTGCAAATAGTATAAACTTAGGCCACGTTTATTTAACGAATTAAGTTGGATGGGATTGTTAGTGAGAGGATAGTTAGCGAAAAAATTGTTAAAAAATTGTTAATATGAGGATTTAGTAGAAGTGTGATTGTTTTGATGATAGTATATGAGATAGTTAGTAATTAGATTGTTAAATTATTTTTATATAAAATAAATAAATAAATTATTTTTATATTAAAAAAAAAACTTAAACAAATATTAAAACAAACAGGAGCACTTGGTAAAAAAAAATTATATAAAATAGACTTAATCCCTTCATTATTTTTCTAATCCTACCCAAAATCTAGCCAAATTAATTCCCCTACTGAGGGGGATTACAAAGTCTCTTGGACTATCAATCTGCCCTCTCATTTCACTACCAAACATACTGTGGATGGGACTCACAGCCATGGTAGTCCAATCTAACCCCTCAAGCTGCAAAACAAACATTGTCTTAGGTTTGTCCTATGCGTTCTATAATTGATAGGATGTAACTTAGTGTATGTAATTGCATAACATATAATAAAACACTACAAATTAATTAAAATGTGGAAAATTTTCATAAAACTTTTCCTGATATTTCTTTCATGAATTGTAGTATTACTCGATATTTATATTGGTTTCTTGTTTTTTATGATTACAAAAACATTAAAAATTGCAAATGTAACTTGTTTGGTATTCATTTCTATTTAGAAAATGATATATATAAGTACATTTTATAAATCTGATGATATGTAAATAAATGATATAATTAATTGATGATTAAAAAAGATATGAGATAAAGTGTTGTCTTAAGTATCTTGATTGATTGTCATAGACTTGAAAAGTGGATTTAATTTTTGGATGCAATGCCCTTTTTAGTTTTAGAAAATTACAAACAATTCTCAAAATTTATTAAATATTTATAACCAAAATAAAGTTGTTTTTGTTTGTTTTGGAAGCAAATTTTCATTCTTTTCTTCTTCTGCCAACCTCTCTAGCTATCATGCACCGTTGTGGGATCTTTTGCTAGGGAGTGATTATTCAATATTCTCAGAATATGGATACGTGGTACTCTATAAGGTTTGATTGGTAGATAAGGGTAAAGACTCGGGATTTATGTTAAAAATAAAAAAATAACATAAGATTAAGTAATTGATGATTGGCTTTGAATATTATAAAATTATTGAATAATTTACCTTGTTAGGTGGGTGGCACTCCAGTTTGTGCGGAGTATAACTCCAATTTCTATATAGGTGTAAATTTAACTTGTGTGGGGGTGTAATTCTAATTTATGATGTAGAGGTGTAATTCTAACACGTGCACGGATGCACCCAATTTGAGCGGCTTGAATTGTGAATTAATATTTATATGATTTAAATATTATTTTTTATTATTTTATTATATGATTTGATTTGAGTTAATATTTGTATGTTTCAATATTATTTTTTTTACTTTTAAATTTTTATTAGATATGTCAAGCAGTAGTCTCATTTTAAAGATTTTATCAATACCTTTTGAACTATATTAATCTTAAAAAAATTTATATTTTCAAAAAAAAAAATTATCAAAATTTATTTATTTATTATTTAAAAATAAGATAAGAGGTAAATGTGGGATAGGAATGGCAACGAGACGGGACGGGGTCGGGGATCACACTCGCCGTCTCTAATCCCCGAAGGCACAAAAGTCCCCGTCCCCATCCCCGATCCCCGGCGGGAAACCCATCACCCTCCCCGTCCCCGCCCTCTAACGGGAATCAGGGATCCCCGACCCCGAAAAATCCCCGTACAAAAACAGCATCCACAACAAACAACCACAACCACAACAGATCAACAACCACAACATATACAACAGATAAACAACCCAAAAAAAAAAGGCTACTGATACTCACTCACATACACATACATATATACATATACACAGATCTGTATGGATCGCGAAGGTGGAGATGCACTAGATCTGGTCTGGATACTCACTCACACACACATACATGTATACATATACACAGATCTGTGTGGATCGCGAAGGTGGAGATGCACTAGATCTAGTCTGGATCAACATGGATTTGAGATTAGGGTTGAGAATGAGAGAGAGAGAAAGGAGGGGTCTGAGAGAAAGAGAGAGAGAGAGACGGAGGGGTAGGTCTGTCTCAGATATCTTTATATATATATATATGAAAGGATGAGGGGGTATAAAAGCAATTTCATTTCGAGGGTAAACGGGGCAAGGACAAAGCCAGGCCGAGTTCGGGACTGTGAGAGCTATCCTTGTCCCTGCCCGAAACTGATCGGGGGTGCATTTTCGAATACCATCCCCGGCCCGTGGAGAGTATTTTTCGAGAAAAAACCATTCTAATCGGGAACGAGAGATCGGGTCTTCGTTGGGCCGGGTTCAAATTGTTATCCCTAATGTGGGGTGATGTATGTAAGGCATCGTTTGGGGATTAAATATTTTACCTAAAAAGTCAACAAGTCACTACAAATTGTCACATAATCTCTATTTTTCTGTACATCTTTTTATAAAAAGTTAAAAAATTACTAAAATAGTTTGCTCGCAACTGAGGTATATGCTATACAGAGAACTAGTTATGTGAGTTGTGCAAAATGTGAGGAGTGACATGTGCTTGTGTGAAAGATGAGAGCAGTTCGAGAGACCAGAGTAAAATAACACAAATGGGAAAATTGCAATTTATTAGTTGAAAGAACAAAAATAAATTATAAATTAGTGGTAAACTTTATCAATCTTATTAATTGAAGTTATGAATTTTTTTATGATTTTATAAATTTTTTTTAGTCTTTTTACTGATTTGCAATTTTTTCATAACAAATTTAACTCAATACTTCATGTCTTTGTAATTTATTTTAAACCATTTCACTGCGGTTGAAATTTTACAAAATCTCGCAGTGACTACTCATGTGGGTAATTTTCTAACCACACTGTCCGCTTAGTAACCAGCTAGAGAGCACCGGCAGAATAGATGGCACCTGACTGACCTGCAACAGAAAGAGAAGATTCTGGCGATGGTTCGTCCACCCGGGGGCACTCCGACGATCAAGTCAGTATATCTCTCAAAGATAAATCAAATGCTAAACTCACAAGCTTGAGTATCAAAACCATACCTTAGACCCATGGGGGTGCCTCTCTTTTATAGCCAACATAAACCTAGTCCCAATAGAAGCCTAACTTTTATGGACTCAGGATTACTGCTAATCTTGGACTCCCAGTAAGATTAGGATAAACTCTCTAAGAGTCTTATCTTAATATAAACTGAAGTCTTTTTTCATTCTAGGACTCTTGTCCCTCATCCAGGTTAAGTTCCCTTTTCATTCTAGAACTCTTGTCCCTTATCCACTTATCTCGGATTTCGGTATCTTCGGAGATAACCTCGGCGTCACAACCAGGACACGTGGCACCTCGGCTGACACGTCGGCGTCACCTTGCCACGTGTTGGTATTCACAACTGCCCCCTAAGTTCTATTACCTTGGCATTCTGAGGTGATAGAACTTACACTGTTCGTTCATCTATGCCCCTCTGTTCGAGATCAAACTTGCCGACCTCAAAGTTCCCTGGATTTTACTGTCCACTGGTGTCAAGAATCAAGTTTCATGCTTTCCAGGCTGCTTGAAATCGCACCTTCTAGCTGAGGTTCTGGTTCCATTAATTCGTAAACTCCAAGAGCTTTGCAACTGCTCCACTCACACTCTCTGGTGAGTTCCCGATTTCCAGTCATCTATTTGACTCCAGCGATTTTCGTATCGGCGTTCATTTCTCTTTGTAGGTTCATAAACTCTTTACTTGCTATTAAGCTCAATCTTTCATAACTCTTCTGAATCTGTTTACTTGTCATCTATTGCCTTCTATTTTCGTCTGTCTTCAAGTTTTGGATTGTTCGAATGCCTGGCACTGTTCTTGTCATATCCGTTTTTTGTTGCTAGCATCGTGTCTGGGTTATTACTTTCTTGTTCTTCACATACTTACTTAATGCCTGTGCACTTGGCTTTATTCTTAAACTTTGTCGTCTTCTTGACTATGATGTTTCTCTTTTTAGCTCTTTTGCTTAAATCCGCCATTGTTCCAAGCTTTCAAGCTTCTGCAACTGTCTTCGTTCCTCTCCTCCGGTGAAGCTTATGTCATTCTGTCATTGTCGTCAGAGTTCGACAATTCTCATTCCGGCTTCCCTCTTTCTGGTAAGCCACTGTTCCTCCTGATTTTATTTCTTGTTGCTTTCCAAGAATCTCTGTTTCATTGTTAATCACCATTGCTGTTTTACCCGTTGTTTCCAAATTATCTTCTTGAATACACACTGTTCACACATCTGTTGATTTTTGCCATTGTTCTTGGTTTGACACACTTGTGCAATCTTTTTCTCTTGATTTCCTGATAGCTTCATCACCATTCTTGATTACGAATTACATTCTTGTTTCTGTTTTTTGTGTCTTTTTTCCAAATTCTTACTTTTGTTGCCGAGATAATGGTAGAGAAGCTCTCCCAATTGACTGTCAATGCTGAACCACCGTCAACCGTTGAAGTAGATTAGTCCGATGTTCTTGCCTTAGTCCCTAGTTCTTAAGGTCTTCTTCTTTGTATTTTTGTTTTCTTTGCATATGTAACCTTTTTTGCTTCTGAAAAATGTCTGTTGTTGGCCGATGTTAACATTCCTTGCTCCTTGATTATCATTCCTTCTTCCACTGTATTTGATAGCTATGTCGGGTAATTGACTTCTCGAATGGCCCTAAGCTCCAGAAGTCTGTCTACTTCTTCCTCTACTGCTTCGACGTGCATCAACATCGGCCCTCTTGCTCGTTAAATTACAGGTTTGGCCGACTTGTCGATGTTCAACTTGTGGCACGTGACCTCGGGGTCAATGCCAGGCATTTCATAAGGTGTCCAAGCGAACACCTCTATATTTGCTCTTAGAAAAGTTTCCAATTCTCTTTCTTTTTCTTTGGCTAAGCCGAGCCGATAAGAAAGAAGCGTTCTTGATCATCCTCCTGGACGAGGGCTTTCTTTAGTGCTTCTTCACTCTTCTCGGCTGGTTCC